GTAATTTACTAGAAAGTTTGTCCTTGTACTGAAGGTATGCAGCAGCTATGTCATTATTCACCATTTTAGCAGATTTTACGCTTTGTCCTATTAATTAAGATGTGCTTTAGTTTCACCTTTTACTACAATGAATTTGAACACGTACAAAATACACTACAGTAGGTAACGAGCATTTGTGATAAGCAAGCTCTTTAAATACGGGGCTTTTCTTGTAGTGCCCACAAATAGTAAGGTAACAGTTACGAGAACGTCTACACGTCATTTATGTTGTAGTAAACTACATTGCAAATAGACACAGACATAACACATGTTGATAATCTAGCAATACATACGTTCTGGATGGGTCCGTATTATTTCATCGACAATCATTTCACCGACAGTACATTTCACCGACAATTAGCTACCAAAAAGGGATAACTTCGAAATAATGTTGGTGAAGATTTGTCGGTGAAATGATTGTCGGTGAAATGTTTGTCGACGAAATGATTGCCTCCCGTTCTGGATATGCTGTTGTATGTTTATGTTGTGTCTGAGTTTGGGACCTGACTCAGTTCGGAACCCAGACACTCAGTCCAGAACTCAGTTGTCTCAATCCAGAACGAGACAGGTCCAAACTGAGGTACAACATTTACATTGCATCCCTCATAACATCCGACCGACTAATTAATACATCATCCAACATTCTCTCTCTCTCTCTCTCTCTCTCTCTCTATTACTGCTCCACAAATGCCGACTATTCTAAAACCACCCACCCATATGCTATCACATTCCCATCAAATGCCTAATAAATTTCTTACTCTTGTTCTGAATTAATATTTAATTAACATTCTAAATACGAATATTACGATTGGATAAAATCTCTTAGGAGATATTCGACCGTTAACTTCGCTCATCAATTTTGAGAGTGTTCACAATTATTATTACTGAATAATTTACTGAACCGGAAGCTAACCCCGATATCATTTAGGAATATCATTAGCCTATGACAATAATATAATTCTATGAGTTACTTGTACGTACGTATTCGTCGTAAAGAAGTTACGCTCGATGCATTGCGAAGGGTTAATAACCTCCATACCGAACTAAGAAAGAGTATAAAGGGTTTGACATAACGCCAAGTAAAATGTTAATAACTCTACGCTCGCTGGGTTATGCTTCCCTGAATATTAGAAAGGATACGTAGAGTCGGGAATAATATTTGCCTAAAAATGTGGTTATCGCGGCGCGTCATGTGGTAGTGGCTAATACAGATATAATTTTTTAAGCGTTAATCACACAGGCCCATAATTAAGCGATGATGAAATGTTAGCCCATCAAGTTTACAGCGTTTACTTTACTGAAAGTCAAACAGAAGACAGTCTTAAAAACGCCATGTTTATTTTATTGCGCGTCTATATCCAATCCTAATTGTCCAATAAACCTTAATGTAATACAATAATGAAAAAATTTTTGGGAAGGTTTGATGTCGCGTTCCAAGCGTTTAGCCACATTTTAATATGCATAATACCGATTACAATATATGCGGTGCGTAACAAAAAACAAATGAAACAACCGACGAACAAAATATTTTATTTAAAACCTTGAAATTTCTACAATAAGTTGATATGGTATCCTTTTGCCGTTTTTAAACTGCCACAATTATTGGAATGTTTTTTTCTACATTCGTCTAGATTATTTTCAGGCTGTTGAACGGCCAGTCTATTAAGTTTGGCACATTATTATTGAGAAATAATTCGGCCCTTTTGCTAGTACGTTTAAGATTGTTGTCTTGCTAGAATTGCCAATTATATCACTATCTCTGAAGCACCTCTAGTACAGGTTTATTCGGAAAACAGAAGGGAGAGGTTTGGATTTTATACAATCCGCCCCAAACTGTAAATTTTGAAATGCAATGAGATGATTATTCTCTCCTATGCCACTGAGAACTGTATTCTGAACATTGAAAGCAATTTCGTTACTGAATAGTATTTTGACCAGCCTTTATTTAAATGCTTAATTGTCACTTTTTTGTAGTCAAGATAGGATTTGCTCGTGGGATGCTTTTCAAAGTAATTATAGGCTATTTAATATCTCAAATTTTCATGCAAGATACGTTTCTGTCACAAAATTATTTAGAGACAAGTAAAATGCATAGCGCTTTCTTTGTAATGGAAGACGTTTTGAAAACAAATTACAAAAACAACAATATTAGAATAATTGTCTAAACTACGCAATAAATTTCAATTTGTTTTTGTTACAACAATTATTATCGGTGTATCTAGGCTTGTGTTTTGATTGTCATTGGAATACATATCGATATTAAGATGTGCGTAATCTAAATAAGACTTAATTTCTGGTATCCATTATCCACAGTTTTTGTTGTCACTATCAGATTTGGCAATCGAAGTTACTAAAATTAGCAATCACTGTAAGGGGAGGTAGAGGGGAGGTAATTTACATCCCTCAACGCAGGGGAGGTACCATAAATAGTAATCGTACTATTGTCTCTACTAACAATCTTATTCTATGATATGTATACTATCAAACAAAGAAATCTTTCCACTTCATTTGGCAAGAGCTGTCAGGGATGAGTAGCACCCATTGACAGATGATCTGCAAGATAGTTAGACCATTTAGGTTTTAGAATATCTATTCCGCAGTAGAAATTTAAGTATATAATCAGCCCGATATCTACAAATTTTCCTATATAATTAATAAACTTACTATTACAACATACGCCTACAAGCGTTTCTATGTCTTTTCTCGCTTTCGGACGTGCTCAAGTTTACGGTGTCGAGAGCTTTATCAGTGTGCGAGCTAACTTCGATGAAACCCTAGCAACATTCTTAATAAAACAATTCTATCTAACAACAACGGTAAGTTACAATGTTGACATCAGTCAAGCGTTTCCGAACTTGCAAATATTGTCGATTAGCGAGTTACGATAGAATACGTAGGTCTGCAGTGCATGCAAATTTGTCTCTTGCTGCCGTATGACGCAGTTCTTAATAGTTTTCGTCATGTACTTGACACCATTGCACAGATTTTATTTGGCTATAATACAGACGAGACTAATCTCGATGCCAACTGCCGAATTTGTCCAAAAGAGAGTGAATATTTTACATATAAAACAAAATGTAACTAATTTTCATGATAAATGCTTCTACTGATGGAAATAAAATAATATTGAGACTTTGTCATAAGGAATGTTACTGAAATAAGGCGACTGTTATAATGAAAAATCAAAAGAAAGTAAAGAATTTACATCACTACCCAACAAACCGTACCATGTTCTTTGTTAAATATCATACGATAAATTGTGTAGAATCATTAGCAAACGTCTGTTGTAGATTTCTTGCCATATCAGCATAACAGCCGTATAACAACCTTCGGCGTTGTGGAGGAAGGGTAATAAACTGAGGCATCTTCCATTCATCAAGTACCAATGAGATGTTGGCGGCAGCTTGTAAACTTTCAATCCACGCAATACATTCTTCTTTATCCGCGAGCTGAAAGAGAAATTGTTGTCCATCTGAAAACGTAATCCGCAACACATTACGTCGTTTATAATAGTTCGTTGCGAAACGTACAAGTACGTTCTGCATACTAAGTTCATGTGCTGTCGATGTACCTTTGCAATCAACCAACCCATTCCGATATATTCGTATAAACGTTCCTCGCAGATCCACATAATGTTTTTTCCATGTTCGAGTTCGCGGTTTAACGTCGCGACTAATATACTCATGTTTGATCATCACGTAGCCACTCTTTTGTACGGTACATGAATACTTTGGAAGTGGCTCCGGTTCGCTTTCTTCATATAAAGGAGGCGTATACTGACACGTTTTGGAATCAAAATGTAAATCTTGGTACGGTGGCGGGTCGCAACGCGCAGGCATTGAATGGCGCCAACTCGATTCTCTAGTTCGCAAGAGTCTTGACTCGCTTAATGAGAACCGTCGCTTTTTCAATATTGAGGGTAGAAAGCGTGTGGCCATAGTTGGCGCCGTGTGCAGACGCGTGTTCAGACGTTCGCCTTCGATGAACTTGGACGCAAATGCGTCTGAGATACTATCTCAGATGGAAGTTTTAAAATGCGAAAGATGGCAGAGAGAGAGAAAAGTCAATAAGGAGAAGTTTGTAAGCAGGAATCTGACCCCTTATTACCATAAATTCCTTGCCCCCTCCCCTACATACCTTATTTGTGTGTCCACCATCATGTCAACAAGAGTTTGTGGAAAAGGGGCAACTGCTATCAATCCTCATTAAATACTTTCGCATCATTATTATTATTATAGCCTTTGGGAATATCATTACGAACATATTATCACATGTACTTCTTGAATAGAACTAGTCGTTTTGTGAGACTGTGCCTCCATAATGAGATCACAATTCCGATGATTCAGTCATCATGACGTCATGTCTACTCATCGCAACGCGAAAATTTTCGCTGGCCAGGCTTTACAAGACTATGTGCCGTCGTAATTTTCTCCGAGCTAATAACGTGGACTAGAGAGCGTTCAAATATAATAAACAGTGTGTACTATTCTGTCCTCTACTGGTGTGGAAGAAGAGAATTGGAGATAGAGGGGCCCTACTTATTAGAATTTACTGGTAAAGACAATAAGTAGGTTATTTGCTTTTTGAGACAGTTTTTGGCGCTGCAGCGACAATTACAAAGGCCACTCTCTTTACTACAATACAAATAGGTACAAGGGCTCTATTATTATTATATTAATTTTGCGGGCTGAATTTAAGAATAATGAGGATTTCTGTTATAATACAAATCAACAACAATAATAATTCTGCTCATGTGGCGTAAGCACCCCAGACTTTGTGTATCTGTACTAACCTTATATGGCTTGATGATACAACAATTCTTATCTTTGGACATCCGAAGAATTTCCAACTGCTATTCATCAACCGCAACTGCTAGCATCAATAACCATGGTAAATCTCTACTGATACATGCTTTCTTACCGCAACTTTGTGGCCATGGTTTCAACAAACTGAAAATATCAATGTCTTTGATGGGCACAGAATCTACCTTATCAGTCAAAACTCCAACTCTTATTTTGGGTGAGTTTCTGCCAGTATACGAAAGGTGTGTAATTAAGACATACTCCACTATAAATTTACAAACCGAAATTTTCAACTTATATGGTCTATTGTGTAGCTTTACCGTTACCGGAAGACGAACAAGACGATGATCAAATCGATGATGAATATGGTGACAACAGTTGATTTTTCATATAACTGTACAGTGAAATAAAACGCTCATCACACATTTTACCGACGTATCCCACAGAATTTATAGACTTTGGTGCACCACAAATGGAAACTGTTATTGTGGTAAGGAACCGCTGCTCGAGTTACTGGTTAATCATCTTTACGCTAGGGTTCGCATCATACTCGATTTGCCTGATTCATTTCTTATTTTTTATAGTCGATGATCATAACAGCATCTGTTGCGTTAAGTCTTCTTATCTGTTATCGTCGTGCTAACAGATTGATCCCCAATGGAATATACTTTGCCTTACAACCACGACATAATCCAGATGAAGATCTGTCTTTACGGACTGGTTTGTTACAAGAGGAAGACGAAGATGCCACCCAATTGGATGATCGAATGCTGGACACTATTAGATACCGAGACGATGACGATAGCATCGAGGACGTGAGTGCATCGAAAAATCAAGAACGATCCTTTATAGATGATAGTAACAAGCCATCTGAAAACCAGGGCAACATGCGTAATGATTTTGGTGTATTTAGTATTGCAGATGAAGATGACTAATGATAATATGAGGCGTGGAAAAAGAATGTCATCAATTATATAGATACGGATTATTGAATGAATGTGTTGTAGAATAGATTATCCAGCCTTTTATTTATTTATGACTGAATAGATGCATATACGCTTTTTTTGATCAAGGTAAAGATGTTAATGGAATCCTAATGTCGTCGTACAATTAAACTTTTAATGATACCGTAATTTGGTCGATAAGCCGGGGGTTTTTTTTCCACTATTTAGCCGGCCAAACTATGTAAATTCTCGAAGCCGATCGATAAGCCAACCCACGTGATATTCGTAATACGGAACACAGTTTTAACTGGTTGATCCCAAATCGTACGTATTATTAATTACCCAGTATAAATTCGTTAAAATAATCATAAATCGAACACCGTTGTTATAAATCAAATCAACAACCAAGGCATTACAATACGTCATTGAAACATGACATAGATTAGAGTATCATGCATGTCATTGAATCATACGATTAGAGCAATGTCATGTCAATGAATCATACGATTAAAGCAGTAACATAAAGAAATAAACATGTCAGTAGATCATACGATTAAAGAAATGAACATGTCGATTCTCTAAGACAAGCTAGTCTAACAGGAATATTTTACGATGTAAATCATATTAATATATTTCATCACGTGAGTCTCAATAACTCGGTCGTCTCGATAAGCCGGTCATCAGTGGCCAGCCCGCTTATCGAGACTGTGTATTACAAAATTGATCTCAATAAAGTTTTATTGTCGAGTTCTTATAGATACTCCCAATACGTAAAATACTATGAGCGCTCTCAACATTTTGGAAACGTAGTGCTATGGATTTAATAGCACAAATCACATCTGCCAATCAGACAAAGTTTATTCCGTGAAATATTAAATCATTGTACTTTTTACCAAATATGGTATGGAGAGAGACGATCCATCAAGGCTTGATGGTATTACCCCTTTTGGCTATGCATTGCCAAATTTGGATTGTAATTTCCAAATTCGATTGGCTCGATGAGCTGGTGAGAACGCACTATTTACCCACATTAACATACTAATACATTTCTATAACCATTTCTTGATAGGCAGGATTACTGAACTGTGCCAAATATAGAATATCAATTCATATTCGGATCAACCAAGTTTGGACACATTTTTGTGTGACATGCGATCAGCAAAATCCACTCCTGTCATGTGTATTGTTATACTACACATTCACTGACAGCAAAAGCACTCTGTTCGAATAAAAAACTAATCAAGCGGAAACCATTATTTCGAATCGCTCGCCGGGCAACCTGCACCAACCTGACAACGAAGCCATAAGGGTAGCGGTCCATTTATATACAGCACAGGAACACCATTACTATCACTTTGGATAATGAACTGTATGCGGTGGTTTATTCCTCTTCTATTGCTTCCCTTTCCAAACGCACCGCCTTTCTTTGTAATAGTCTTTCTAATATCATACTTTCTTCACCAACGACCATGGTAAGTATCTCGGTCTGTATTATGTCTAATTCCACTATCTTCTCATTGGTATCTTGTGTTTTCTCATTTTCCAGTATATCTTGTACAGTACTATTGATTGCACTATTCACAAGTACGTGTTATTGGGGTCAAGATCGCTGTTGGTTTGACTTGAATCAAGGAAATATTTTACAGCCACGAAAGATCAATTAATATGATGTAAGGCCTATAAAAGCAAAGAAAGGTAAAGAAGAAACTTTGCGCTGTCTGATCCGAGGCTTTACAATTCCGGTAGGTTATTCAAAGATATACCGAGTTTCGTTAGTACTTTGCCCCAAGTCCCACCTAGCGCATTACCGAGTGATGAAAGGACGTATGCCGAAGTTCATTGGTACTCGGGACGTATACCATTACGATCTTGCGACTATGACCTCTTCGGTAATCGGAATACAATGTTCAAAACTGAGTGACGGTTCTCTGTGCACCATTTCTTGCCAATTGTCAATTTATCTACGGCTTTGTCAGACTTCAATGGACTTTTATTGTTGGTGCTAGCAAAAACTTGTTGATATCATAAGCGGACACAAAGAGAGAGCAGCGACGAAAGTATGTCATAGACAGAAGAGTTGATTATTATGAACATGGCTTTATTGCTCGGATTCCTATGTAAATGTCAATAAAATTGTACATAGTTGAAGGTAATTGATTGCATGCTTCGGGAGAGAGGACTTATTATCCATCGGGGGAGGATCTGCATATTTTGTTGGGTGACTTTGCGAATACTCGGAATTCTTATGAACAAGACCATAATGAGTACGCACTTTATTACTGAAGAGAGCATATAATGTCAGGAATCTTTTTCTAAGCAGATTGAAACGGGTATCCCACTTTTTCAATGTCCAAATGATAAATGTTGCGACCAAGGAACATAGTCAGATTGTAAATTGGATCTTTCTATTTTCTCCAGAATGATAACATTTCGTGCTGAGCTTCCAACCTGGATAATTGAAATACTTTTTTTTTCTTCAAAGCTGGATTTCGAAGAAACAGTAAATAGCTACACATATACTGTATAAGCACATATTGTATTTATTAGATTGTAATATATCCTTTTTTATTACATTGAATATTCACTAATTGATTGATAGGGGTTCCGGTGACTTTTGGCAGGGGAATGTAGATAATACTTTCGTTTGGTATCGGCACAAGAGCAGTACCGTTTTTAGAAAGACAACTAATAGTCATTGGTCTAAGAGTGTATTCAGTAAATTATAGATTTCGACGCGTCTTTAATTTGATTTCACTACTAGTTTAGTATTTTATTTCATACATTATTAGCATTGAATTGACAGCACGTTACAACAAACCAACACTACAACGATGGAATTTAGTTAGCACTATATAATAAGAAGAGATGAGGCGCGATTATAGGACAGCGTAATTTGTGTTTATCGAGGCAAGAGACATTTGTGACGGGAACTATTTTTACGCCAGTTACACTAACAACTCGAATGCTTGCATATTTTTCGTAGCGAAAAATAGGCTTTACTTGTAAGAGTACAGTTTAGCTGAAAGACGGAACGCATTAGTTTTGAGGAGAGATTGGAGTCTTAAATGGCAATTAAATGCAAATAAAAAGTAACCAAATTTTAATATTAATTTATCTTTACAAAATATTACGTCAAACAAAAAATTAGAAATCCCAATGCACAACACCGCTCGGCAAGTTTCTTGTATTCTTCTGTGCGGAATCAGGCATCGATGGTCGTAGTCCGCCCATAATGTCGCATACTAAATCTCTACCGAACTGCCTATCTCTAAAAGCTGGTTCACCAGTAGCAATCAAATACGTAATGATCCCAAAAGAATATACATCTGATTTCTGCACAAGTCATCACGAGGCCTATTACAGACGCAAGTGTCGTGCTACTATCAAACGCTTATGTTAATGGCGAATGTTTATTTAATGGTGAAGAAGAAACTCATCCTTTTGTTCCTTCTGTCGTCTTGGTAATATTGTCACTTGATTTATTTATTTCTTCCAGAGCTTCCTCTCTCTCTTTTGTCAAAGAAACAAGTCTCTTTGGCCTACTCTTCCATCCAGCCAATCTCCTATATTGAACAGCTTGCATTTCTGCGCGCTCCCTTGCCGTTCCGAATATCAGCGGGTCAGGTGGATCGGGAAGTTTGAATTCCTCGCTTAACGTTACAATCGCTTTCTTATATTTAGATTTCTTCTTTCTCGTTTCAACTGATCCGAATGTTTCTGAACGATAAGTCTGATAGTTCATGGTTCGCACGTTGACGACATCAAGATTATAAATGTTTGTAAGGTAATCTCTTATATCGAATTTGTTTAATCGAGGTGGTACCCGAAAAGCGACTTGGTTAGGAGGGAGTTTCGGATCCCGAGTTAACTTGAATACTATGTTCGGAAAATATACTTTCTTGAGTCCTGGTGTAAAAGGACGAAAGGCCATTTCTACAGAGGGTTGGCCGATCAGAGTAAAAAAAAGAAGTGATTTGATGAATTTACAGTACCGTGATTTCGGTGGTACGGTAGCCTGTGACGTAGCCTATTATTTTAATTTGTTAATATTAATATTAATGAATTAGTATTAGTATTATAATTAGAGACCCATTTCACAATTTAGCATTAGATATAATTAGTTTAAAAAGTATATAATAATAATAATAATAATAAATGCAATATAAATTTCAAAAGCTGGAGAATGGGCTTAAAATCTGTAGATTTACTTAATAAACCAAAGACGATTTTTACTCTTCGCATAGAACATGGAAAACGTTATAAGCGCCATACTGACGATATCAAAGAATAAGAAAGCGGGCTCAGGTTATGCAAGCGATTATGATATGAGCAGTATATTAAGAGAAGATAATTTTCCGAATCCAAGAACACTTGTTGTCTCAAACATTAACTATGGATCGTGCAAAAAAGTAGGTTCTAAGAGTCTCAACGAAACATTTGACATGATCGCAAAAGTCTCCGATTTCCACGAGCATATTGATGGAAACAGGAGATATGGCAATAAAAGTAAACATGGCACTATTACTATGGCAGGTATAGGGAAATCCTATGTCGTTGTCCTGTGAAAGAAAGCATAATTATTGGAAAAGCATCTTCATTCGTTCGTTCAGAGAGAGATAAAATTGCAGTCACGCGTTACCAGGTTACGCTCATAGATGGGTTCATTGCCGATCTATAAGAATAGGTCTTACTCGCCGACTTGTAACGAAGGAGGTTGGGCGTGGTTTCTTGTTACAAAAGACATCATGCATGTAGTATACATATTTATAAGGTTGGAACCAAGGTTTTTATATAAATACAGGTTATAAATTTATACAATATAATTAAATACCTACGTCCCAACTCGGGACTAGAAACTTTAATCAATATAACCAGGTCATTTATATGGTATAATTATGTTTCTACTGTACGTGAAATTTTAAACCGAACGAAGCAGACAAACGGTTTTGAAAAGAAACAATCCCGTCAATGATCCAATTTTGTATTCTTACTTATGACTGTTATACCAACTTCGTGCTTTATTCCTAACAACTTGTCCCATATTCTCTTACTGTATAGCTTTAAGTTGGCCCGCGTATAGCAAGTCAATTTTTAGTTTCAACCAATAGTAATAGTAAGAATATTGCTGTCCAATAAAATTTTGACAAACCATTGGGAAAGCAGCCACTACACTAAAAGGAAGTCTGCATATCATACAACAATCAATATACTGTAACTATGGTCAATCCTCGCGTTTTCTTTGACATTGATATTGACGGACATCGAGGTTTGTTATTTAAGTGAACCTGTTGTGCAGTTAACTTGTGCAAGTCAATTGCTGTGAAGAACGGTGTACTCAACTATATTGTATATGCTCGCAGTTGGCAGGTACTGAGAAGCTCCTTTTGCCAACAGTTTTTGAAGGCCCCTGAGATGGATACTTCCCGTATTTTTGTTGTTGAAACTTTGTAACCACTCACTTTTTACCATTGTGCTCTCTAAGGATTGTAATAGAATTGTTCAAGGATGAAGTGCCGGTAAATAGTCGGGAATAAGGAAATCTATTTGGTAGACTTTCATCGTAACGATATTGTCTCTTCATAACTAGATCACCGCCGAAAACTTCAGGGCTCTTTGTACGGGTGCGTATAAAATTTTATTAAATGGGGACTGTCTTGATCCATGTACTCAAAATTATCATATTCGCAGGCGAAAAGGGCCTTGGGAAGCAAAGTAATATGCCCTTACATTACCGTGGATCTATCTTTCACCGGTACACGTTTATTTTATGTGTGAACTCACGACAATGAATCGTCTTAAGCAAAAGATTCTATCAATATACAAGTCGCGTGTAATGACTCACCCTCGCAAAAAAATTTAGTGTCATCAAAGGATTTATGATACAGGGAGGAGGTATTCAATGTCTATTTTTATTTATTCTTCTTTTTTTGTGAATTCAACCGTCTTGTTTTTAATAGCACTGTAATTAGACGTTTTTAAATTTATGTGATCAGATTTTACACGAAGAAATGGAACTGGTGGCGAGAGCATTTATGGTGGGACCTTTAACGGTAAGAGTTTGATTAGAGTTGATCTTCGCTAGCATAAGCGGTAAAGATCTAACTGTAGAAAATTTAAATTAAAAGATGAAAACTTCCGTCGCAAGCATGATACCGAAGGACTGTTATCCATGGCTAATCGTGGGCCCAATACCAACAGCTCACAGTTTTTTATAACTGTTCGGCCAACACCGCATTTAGATGGTAAACTTTTTTTTGCAAGAGTTATATATTCACAAGCGTTTATTACAAGGAGATCAATTGTATCTTGTAATTCAGGTAAACATGTAGTTTTCGGACGCATTGTCAGTGGTTACGACGTTGTGAAAGCGATTGAAAGTACGCCTGTAGATGACAACGATCGGCCTATTGGAATTATCATGATTGCTCAATGTGGTGAACTAGAGTTGAAACTACCGCCTAATTACAGAGGTAACTTGACTTTGGGTAGATTATTTACATTTGATTAAGAATACGTCTTTTAAGTCGTAATTACTCTCAAAGTCAAAGACAAAGGCAAGCAGAAGACTAAGGAAGAAAATGCAGAAGATGGGCCTGACTCTTCCGAATCCGAGGCTGGCAAAAAGAGAAAAAGGAGAAAAAAGAAGAGAAGAAAGCGGTCATTATCTGATACAGATTCAACATCTGAGAGCGAGTCAGATTCAGATGGCAAGCATCGTAGAAAGAGAAGACATAGAAAGAAAAAGCATAAAAGACACTCAAAGAAAAAAGATAGGAGTAGGAAAAGACGCGACGGGAGTGTTTCGCGGAGTCGTTCTCGCAGTCGTAGCACAAGTCCAGAATATAAAGAGAAGACGCGAGGGCGTAGTAGATCATTGAGTAAAGAACGATTAGCTGTTGGTGCTAGCACAAGACCAGTTAGTGGTGACAATAGACGAAGCAAATCCCGGTTGGAAACGCAGTCGCCTCGTAAATCTCGTTCGAGAGGGTTTTCTATCTCCCCAGGTGATCCCCGGTCGCAAAGTCGCTCTAGATCGCCGCCTGCATTGAGGGATCGCTCGAAATCGCCTAGGGGACGATCACGATCGCTGACTCGACGCGATATATCAAAATCTTCGCGTAGTTCTCGATCGTCTTCTCGGTCGCGGTCACCTCAACGGCCATATCCATCAAAATCATATTCGTCACGGGTGGAGTCGGTTTCGAGATCGCGTTCTAGGCATCGTTCGCGATCGGGAAGTAGAACTCCTCCGAGAAGACGTTCGAGCTACAAATTGTTAGACAGTTATCGACCTTCACAAAGTTATGTTCCGCATTACCGTGACGACAGACGGGTTAGGGATAGAGATTATGACCGCGATCGCCGAAAAAGTTATAACGATCGTGATATTGATCATCAGAATAATGGACGAGATAATGGAACACGCTCTAGCACTCAAAGAGAAAATGAGCGAGTGAGTTCTAGCGACAGTAGCGACAGAGAGGAGCGTCGGAACAGAGAAGATCGTGACTCTGAAAGACACACGCAAGAGGGTGACCAGGATTATAGGGATCGAGGACGTAGATATAACAATAATGATGACGATGACAACAAGAAAGGAAGGGAATATGACCGAAAACGATCGATGTCTAGGTCACCTCCGGTTAAGTACAAAGGCCGCGGAAGAATGGTGAGTATTAAATTGATATTATGAATGGCAGTTTTTTGTTTCTATTTGGCCAAGATGTTTGTGCTGAATTAAAATGTTTATTACTTTGTAGAAATATTTTCAGTCGCTTGCCTCTTAGACTCTTGGCATCTTTGTTAACGATAAATCAAAGCCCCTCTTGAATAGCACACACAATTGGGATGTAGAGAGTGATACAGCTTCAGATTTCTGCAAATCTTTCTAACAAACGAAAACATATGGATACCATTATTAGTTCGCTACCTTTTGCTCGATACGGTTTCGACGCATCAAAAACGGATCGAGGTAATGACAAATTCATTTTCGTGATCCTCAACGACAAGATAATGTTCGAATAAATATTATTTTGAATTCAAAAGAGTTTAGCAATAACGAAATGCATTTTATTCAAGAAATGGCATCAATATTTCGGGTAGTATGTTCTTCCTTCTTTAGTCTTATTTTCTCTTTTAGCCATTCCGGCATAACCCCATCCTGGTGGTCGCCTATTTGTTTTTTTAATTTGACGTTCGATCTATGCATTTTGCTCTTTAAGTGCTGGTCGGCCTCATTTTGACCGTCAAGCGTAACAGGTCTTCCTTCCATTGAAGAACATACTTCACAGTCGTGTTTGCTCCATGTGCGTATCAAGTCATATGGGCTATTACGTTAAAAATTGAAGATTAGCAAATATGTCTCTAACCGTAAAATATCAATGGAATTCATAACGAATTGGTCCCAAATAGATGCAAAAGAATATATACGTAGTATTTTTGGTTGGTGTCAATAGTTGTTGTGCACGCAGGGATGAGAAAGGATCCGGTCCTCTCCCGGTGGTCAAGAATTCTGGGATGAACAGAAAATAGCGTGCATTGAATTATATTATATACATTTGTATGTGGCGGTCATGCACAAAAAACCCCTACCTCTAGCGATATTAATAGCCGTGTCGCGTACATTACGGTCCCACTCGTCGAGGGCTAGAATCAACTTAAGAACGAGTACAAGTTTCCTTCAAAACCGAAATCAACTATCCAATATCAAGTCAAAGGATACAGGTTGCATCAAGCAAGTACACTCTAAGACTATCATCACTACCTTCCCGTGCACATTTCAATAGAAACTTATTCCTAATCCACCGAACTTGATATCTTGCGTACCTGCGGGTAGCCGTTTTCATTGCATCGATACATCTAGATTTCAAAGCTTCGAGCTTGTCAGGTTGGAGGGGGGGATCTAAGGAAAGAGCTGTGATGTATGGGTCGAATTCTTTGTAACCTAAGAAAGCCAATAGTTAGATGACACCGCATGCAATGTCATAATTAATATGCGTCATTCAAACGTAGAGACCTACCTATAGCCTGCCATATTCCTCGGGTATAATTGGCGGCGATCCCATCCGAAGCGCTAACGTCGTCTGTTGAATTAGACTTCTCTCGAAGGTGCTTGATTTCGTCAAACAGCCCCAACTATATGAAAATAAACATTCCGTGTTAAAATAACATATAGAGATGATTCTGATGGCCAGAAAACTCCGTTAAGACAGACCTCAATCATCTTATCCACTCGTGCATCAAGTCTAGCATCAAGGACTTTAGGTTCAGCATACAGCCAAAAAATGCACGTCCGGTGATATCTAAGAAATTTGACCATCTATAATTGATACTCTAACTAGTGTTCGTTCATAATAAAAGTAAAACTCGTGTTTAATCACACCCTTACCTTAACGAGTTCCCACTCTCTCCTTGATGCTGTTGTTCTTCAATCCAATCGCTATGCCGTTTGCCTGTTTGTAAATATATCTATTATCGACGTGCGATTTCATAAATCCAGTAACCGTCAGAACCTCCTGCGGATAGTCAACCTGATATTTGAAATGGACTAATAGTTATCTGAATAGACCTGCAAGCTTCTGCGTATCTTTCGTCTATCATTCCGATGCCACCGGTTTGCCATGATAGGATCCACATGTTGTAAGCGTTCATAGAGTATGTCTGTATCCGCACTAAGTAGTTCTCCAAAGTCGTCATCATTCTCCGACTCTTCGGACACATTATCAACCGATAAATCTCCCACCAGTGAATTATTCCACAAAAGAGATTGAATGTAGTAGTTGGTTCCGCCAACAACTATTGGAATGTGATTTCTATCGTGAATTTCGCGAATCTTTTGATATGTTAAGAATTTTGGAAAGATCGGTAATGTATTACAACGGCAGTCAAGGTTTTTTCAAGGGATACAATCCGCATGGCATCGCTAATGAATTCAGTCACTTTATATTCGCGAGGTAGTTCTAAGAAATCCATAAGATGATGGGGGATTCCTTCGCGTTCTGCAGTAGTTATTTTATTCGTAATAATATCCAATCCCTTATAAACCTACAAGGTAATTCCTAGTTTAGAACTAGCAGATTTTGTCTGGCAAGAGTGACATTATTCCTGTAAATAATCTCATCCTTGAAATTTAACGTCTAAATTCACTATATAAGGGAGGCGCTATATCGATATTGTTAAATGAAGAAACTGATCAAAAAATGCTCCAAGTGTATTTCAGCAAATAGAACGGAATAAAGAAGTAACCTGTGTTATTAAAATATTTCTAACCCTTTAGCATTGATAGGAGACCTGTCCCAATTACCTGCATGGAGTCCGCATTAACAACCTCGCCTTGTAAAGCTTTTGACAACTGCACACTCAGATCTGACTTTCCAACGCCGGTAGTGCCAATAACAGCTATTATGGATCTGTCCATTCTTCTCAAGTATGACCTAAAGGCCGTGTTAAACATTCTAAACTGGTCATGTTATGATTGTAGATCATGTGAGCCAACGTTTTTGAAATGGCATTCAACCAATCATGAGCTGTACCACCGAATACGCACATAAAACATTAATATTAAAATCAATAGAATAAATTGGACACATAAACAATACTACTTCGCAATTAGATCGGATATTCGAAGAATGTATTACCAAATTGGAAAATTATAATCATTCCGATTACGTGACACGTATAAAAAGAACGCGAACTCGTTCACTTGCTTACATTAGTCTCAGAGAGTCTGGCTGTCCCTTATGCACGCTTTGTATACTGTTTCTAAAGAAAATATTGCCTTCTGTTAAGAGAAGGTTCCCCAATTACAGCGCGATTACAAACGATTACAGTGCGATTACAGGTATTTACGTGCGTGTTTGCTCCGGTGGAAGAGCGTTTACAAATGAAACAATATTATTTGTATTCATTTAATAACAAAGAAACAGTTCAGAGTCTTAGTGATGACTTGCGTTGGAGGGTAGTATACCTTTAGCGTGATGGTTTCTCTAAGAAAAACATTGGCTTTTATTTATACGTAACAGGATTCTATAGAAGATACTTAATGGAAAAAAATTATTATTAATTATTAATTATTAATTATAAACCAAACTCTACCGTTGTGCAATTTTCGAACATTCCAGAATAAACCACAATTTTCATACTACAAGTCTACTTGATGATACAGTTTTGTGTGGATCTCTGCATTTCAAATTAAATATAAGGAAATTAATTTTAATAAACACGGTTAACTCACATTCTTTTTTATGCGCGTAGGTTCCATATGAGATTGCGTGTTTTCGGTTTCCGCCATTCAAATACCGACAACCATAAACATATTTAAAGGCATTATCCCCCAAACTCTTTACCATTGCAATATTTTGCTCATTGAAAATCAAAATCGTAAACACATAATCTCTCCCCTCAATGCTAACACCACCACCGCCAAAACCACCGCCAAAAAGGGATTCAAACAAAAGGAGGTCTTCAGCTCCCCAACCTACGGACAGATTACAGGACTCAATTGGAAACGCAGAGCCCTTTTGGAATGAATATACTCTGAAGTAGTCGAAGAAGTGTGGTTACCCGAAAAGACCGCTTGTGTCGTTTTGGATCCGAACCTGTGGAGTGAATCTTTGAAAAAAATGGGACACGGCTCGTGATTCTCGGTTAAGAAGTTTATACCAATGACAGCAAATATGGAGAGCTCGCAGAAGACCTACTCGCAATTTGTGGCGCGACATAATGGACTACGTTCGGCCGCAAATCGCAGGAGAAGAGAAGCCGCCCAAGAGGTTCAAGAAGGAAGTGAAGAAACCTTCAGCAGACAAGGTACAACGTATTCGCATTTATTTCAACCAGCAGGAGCGGCTGAAACTCAGAAGATGAATGAGAACAGCACGATGGACATACAATCGGTGCCTTACCGCGGTCGAAAAAGAAAGTATCACACGAGAAAAAAAAGGTCCACGCGCACTACTGTATGTCTCAACGCCAAAAACTTCAATGATACCAAAACTTAAATGGGTCCTTGAAACTCCCTATGACATTCGCGATGAAGCAATGAACGACTTGCTTAAAGGATATTCTTCCAATTT